AATTACAACTTCGATAGAGAACTGACGACAATAGCAACACCAACTAGCGAAATCAAGATAACCAACAACATTTTAATTTGAAGTAACTCATTTGTAATTGAGACTGCGATCATCTTCCTTAAGCACTCCGGTTCAATATAAATCCGGTTCAACATAACTTCTGATCCAGTTGCACTCCTTAAGCGATTCAATTCTTCGTCTCCATCATTTTCTTCATCAACCCACTTAAAAAATCTACAATCATCTTCCGATCTGTTTCGGGGGCATCTATAAAACTTTCTTCCATGATTATTAGCTTTGTAGCAAGTATAGACTTTACATTGCATATTGCAATGACAATAGAATGGATTATCTAGCCTTCTCGGTGATGGATTGGAGCGGCTCGAACTCATGTGAGAAATTTAAAATTGCAAAACAAATTCAAATAGGTAAATGTAGTAAACTAAAGCATATACAAACTACAACAAACTAAAAAAAATGTCTATGAAATTGTTTTTCCATTTTAAACAAAGTTTCCATTAAACAACAAACATGAAAAGAGACAATGAGAAATTATATCTTGCCTTAAAACTGCACTATATAGGATGAGGATTCATTTTGTTTTCTTAGTAGCATTTCATCAAACAACTTACATACATTAATTATAAATGATGAAAATGATATAACTTTACGGCTGATTAGGAAGAACTTTAGGAACAAGCAGCAAAACACAAAAAATTAGGAATGATTAGGAAGAGATCCGTTGCTATGGAAAGAAGAATCGAGAGGAGGAAAAGAGAGAGTTCACCTTGCTATGGAAAGAGATCCGTTGCTATGGATGAGATCCGGAGGCTAGAGCACATCGGCGGCGTCGACTATGACTGGCGACCGGAAGGAGAGAGAAGGAAATGGAGTTTCTTGCGAAGAAATAACAATGCGGAAGGTTTGCGGGAGGGTTTTCACGAACTGGGAGACGGAATAGTGACGGAATGGTATTTTAGAGAGCAAAGTAGGTTTTCGGTGGTATGAGTGTAAATATGCAAGTTTACATGTTTAATACGTAAATAGCGAACTTTTAAGTGTTAGGTATGTAAAAATCCCTTTTTGTTATAGATGTGGAGAGATATTTCAAAAGAAAAGTTGATGTAATTGAGCAAGATGTAAATTGTGATGAAACTATTGATGGCTAGAATATACGCAGCGATAAATTTAGAATTTTACATCTCAGCGTTGTATGGATATTCAGCACACAAACAGAAGAGAAATAAAACACCAGGATTTTTAAGTGGAAAATCCTAGAAAGGGAAAAATCACGGGGTCACGCCCAGTTGAAAGAATCTCACTAGTGTTTGCTTGAGTTACAAGAAGCTGACTCGTCCTTAAAATTTAGAAAGATCAGATTAAAACAATCAACTCTCATGTTGAAATTCATTTGCAAATGGATATTAGAATACTGACTTCAGAAAACTGGTGTCCGTCAGTTGTCGGACAGAGTTATAGCATTACTTGGAAGTCGGACAGAACTTCGATGTCAGTTAGAGGTCAGGCGGAATTCTAGCGTCACTTGAAACTCGAACGAAACTCTGACGTCACTTGGAGTTCGGACGGAACTCCTACATCACTTGAAAGTCGGGAGGAACTCCGACGGTGGTCGAGGAGGAGCTTCTTCCTTCTCTTCTTTCCTTCTCTTCCTCTCTTCTTGCTTGGGTCCCCTCTTAAGAAAAATGAGGGTCAATTTATAGTTTTTTTAGGATGGCATGGCCAGTAAATAGGAGGATCAGGAGTAAATTGAGAGTTGTTTGAATGGACGTCCGATGTTGAATCCCTTGACCGTGGACCATTTATTAGGCATTTAAAGGCTTTAATGAATTCAGAATTTGATGATCTTGGGCTCGTTGGATTCGACTCGTCGAGCCGCTCGATTCGGCTATAAGCATGCGATATTTGGAAATTGTTTGGTAATCCAAATTATGGATTGAACCTTCTGAATGTGCTTCAGATGTTTGATTTGAACTATTTTGGGCTCGTATTGAGTTGAATTTGGTGTAGTTAGGTTCGTATTTCCAACAAGCTCAGTTTGACTGTAAGTTTGCTGAAATCAAAGTTCAGATGGTTCCAGATTTAATTTTGGAAGTTTCCAACTTGATTTTGCCTCAAGATTCGTGCCCGATGATAATTTTTTGATGATGTAATACATAATTCAAATATCTTCTTGTAGAAAATTTTGATGAATTGCTAGTTGACCAAGGTTTATGGAAAAAAAATTATGATTATCATCCAAATGATAGAGATACACTAAAAAGAACATACTTATTAAGAGGGTTTTGTCAACCTCAAGATTATGAATTCCCACAAACAAAATTTAGAAATAAATTACGTAGGTTAATCCTGCATGGTTTAATGATTACACAGCATGGTTAGAGTATAGTCTAACTAAAGATTCAACTTATTGCTTATTTTATTATCTTTATAGACCAAAAATATGAAAGCAAGCAAGTGGTGATAGCTTCGACACAAAAAAGATGTCCGCTCTCTCCCATTCTGCTCGTCACCATCGATGACTGTTCCCGCTCCCATTAGAAAAAATCATCAATAGTACTCCGTTCTTCGTCGGCCCCTGTGCTCCGTTCGCCAACGCAATTCCTCATCCATCAAACTTTCTCTCCTAGACCCAGTCATCCTCGCCTCCAATGTATGTACGTTTTCTTTTGTGATTGGCCATTTAAGAGGGTGTTTATATAGTGTTAGGTCTCTTCTCCCTTAGGCATTATTTTGGATGTATAATAATGGATAATGATCTTTCCTCCATATGTCACCTACGTGAATTAGATATCACTCTCACTAAAAAAAGAAACCATTTCAAGATTATAAAAAATCATGCACCAAGTGGTAAGAGATGGAAGGTGATGGTGAAAGCATGAGAGGTATAAGAAAGAACCCTCACCTAATTTGTTATGAAGAAAGGCATGACAACATTGCTAGCATAATGTTTGCAACAACTCTTTGATAATTTTATAAAAAAAATAATGAAAATTCAATGAGAATAGCTAACTGTAATTAATAGTATCTCCAAATCACAAGTTACAAAAACAATCTTTAATAACTTCATATTAGGTGTACGATAAATTTTTCATATTATGGATATTAGAAATCAAAGATGTTAGATGTATAATCGATTGGTGTAAGGACATAAGATTTTAAGAGATGAGTTCGTTAATGAGGTTAATTTCTTTTATTGACAGCTTGTCAACTTCATTGCTTTATCTCGGATGGAAGGTTTTATTGTCAGTGTTCTAAACATAAAAATCGAATGTAACTCACACCAAATGAGGTAATTGTTGATCTATATCGGAGAGGATTCATACTAAAATATTGATATTGAACTTCTCATGATGAGTATGAGCCACATTTTGACTCTTGATGCGACCCATCTACAAGTTAAAATATAGTTGAGGAATAAAACATCTGAATGCTCGAGGATGCAACTGAGACATAATTTGAATAATATATAGAAGAGTCACCAAATAAGAATGCACACAAGTTCTATGATTTATTGCATGCTGCTCAACACTAATTTGAAAGGGGTGAACTACTCACTCAAAGTTATTTGATGGTGTGAAGATGTTAAGCATCAAGATAAAATATAATATCCTCTATAAATGTTTAAATCAATTCGTTGGGTTGCTTAAGGAGATCAATATGACATAATTACTACAGATTTATATCAGACTAAAAAAATAGTTTTCAAACCTTGTTTGACATATACAAAAATAGATTAATGTGTTAATGGATGCATGTTATACTACAAAGATGATTTTATCAGAGATTATATGCCGCTATTTCAATGCATCAAAATTTAAAGCAAAATCTGAGATGAAAAGAAAGCAAAATGATGTAAGAGTTAGTAAAATGTTTTACTTTTCTGTGCATCTATGACCTTTATGATTGCAGGATTGTTATGTTATATAATAATTAAGAAAATGTGTCGCTTTTTTTTTTATGCTACAAGTTTTCAGTGGATTTTTGGCGGATAATCTACCAGAAACCTCAATATGACAAATAAGAATGAGCTTTATGGCGGAAGAAATCTGTCGACTATTCCGGCGGATTAGCAGTCAGACTCGCCGGTAATTTCAACAACCTTTTTAGCGTTAAATCCGTTGAAAATTTTGACAGATTATCCACCTGCAAATTTTGTCGGGCTTTCTGATAGAAATGATCGACGAATATATTGCCGGTACTTCATATGACTAAAACCTCCTGAAAGCGAATTCAAAAAACAACTTTTATATGGATATCGTCTACCTAAAAAATGTGAGAATCATTTACCTAAAAATGAGCCATATTATTCTATATTATATTTAATATAATTTACTTTGCATTTCTTATTCATTCAACCAAACACTGAATTTTTCAAAACCCTTGCATTCACTTTTCTTTACACTCATTTTACTTCTAAGCAAACAACCTATAGTATAAAATCTAATGATGGTGGTGGTCGATGGATGGTGATGATGACTAGTAGCGCTGGTGATGATAACAATGGGCAGTTGATGACAAATAGGTTATGCAAGCTATAAGTGGTGGAAATAGTTGACAACAAATATTGGTGAGCAACTAGTGGCAGTGGCAATGACTTGGTGGCTGATGGTCATAGCGACAAACTAGTGGCAGTCGATGATGACAGCAAGCGATTGTGTCTGGTACAAGTTTGCAGCTACAATGATAGAGAAAATTCATAAATAAATTATATTACATTTCAAATTCATCCAACCAAATAGTTAAATTATTGAAATGCATGTTATTTAAATACATTACACAATCCAACCAACCAAACAACCTCTTAATACTTTTGATTTCTTTGTTAACATTAAGATTAATATAATTATTGATTAGTTTAAAATAAATTATATCTTGTTATGCATATATTTTAATATAATTTTGATATTATATGAATATTAACCTAGATCCATCTTATAATAGCAAATATGTGTCTTTTTGATCACTAGGGAACAAATCCTGTCCTTGCTCGCTGTACTGGACAATCTCCATCAGGTTCGCACGTTAGCGTCCCAATTCCACGAGCTCTTTTAGCAGTATAAGACATTAAGACCTAGCTCTTCCCGTGCTCTCTTGATCCGACCACAGACCAGTCATAGGCCCATATGAGGCGCGCCTTCGACGAGATCTCCGACGAGGAGTGGGAGAACCACTCCTTTAATCCCTCGAAGGTTCTGAAGAAGGGAAGGACTTCTTCTTCTCCGTCAATTGAATCCTTCGCTTATCGTCCTCAACAGAATGCCTTCTTACACCAGAACGGCATCGGTTCGACGAACGTGGTGAACTTGGATGATGACGATGAAGACGAAGACGAGGAGGTGGGGAAGCGGAACGGGTTGCCGGCCACTCGAGCAACGCGGAACAGTCGGGGTCGGCGGTACGTTGTGGACGAGGACAGCGATCCCGAGGGTTGGGATGATGTTATTGAAGTCCAGTCGGTAGAGAAGGATGATGATGAAGAGTTTTCATTTGGTTCAGAGGAGGAAGAGGAGGAAGAAGAAAAATGGGAGGATAAGGAGTTCGATGTAGTCGGCAGGGCCTTGCACAAGTGCTCAAAGATATCGGTGGATTTGAGGCGGGAGCTATATGGCTCCTCTGTTTCAGCTATTGATAGGTATGCGGAGGTGGAGGCTTCTTCTATTAGGATTGTTACTCAGGTACTGACTGATAATTTTGGAAAGCATAGTTTATTATGTCTGTGGGGAGAACTGTGTTGTTGGTATTTATTCCTCTTATGTGGGCTAACAGGATGATATTGATGAAGCTTGTTCTAGTGAAGATTTGGGCTTTGAGCCGAATCTGAAGCCTTATCAGCTTGTTGGCGTAAATTTTCTCTTATTGTTGTACAGGAAGAAAATTGGCGGAGGTAAGTCCGGTATAATCAGTGTATATAGATTTTAGAACAAATTTGGGTGCATGGAATGATATATTTAAGTTTATAGGATTTTATGAATGGTAGAAATGAATAGGAGTGGTATATTTGATATTTAAGTTGTATATAGGTGATAGGCATGTAATATTAATGTTTTGGGTGTTAGATATGTAAATAGCATGAAATAAAGTGGTATGGATGTAAATTTCCCTATATTTTATTGCCTAACAACCTTCCATTAACGTTTTATTACTGTCTTTTGTTGCATTTGCTGCTAATAATAAGAATTGGCGCTAAAAATATGAATTTGATGAATGACTAAAAAAAACACGCCTTGAAAAAGCTACCATTACTAAAGAAACATGTTGTTGATGTTGTATGCAGTATGCACATGCAGTGAGGAACTTTGGGAGTAACTTTTTCCCTTAAGCTTTAGGTAAATTTTACCATCCTCAATGCTATTTTGGACACAGGATCGAAAAGAATTTTATATCTGAAGTTTTGGTTAAGAAACTAGGTCTAGTCTCTACCAAGCATCCAAAACCTTATAAACGGAGTTGGTTTCAAAAGAGTAATGTTTATTAGGTCACTAGGCAATGTACTCTTAAGTTTGCTTTTTCTTGACATTTTTTCTGATGAGGTAGTCTATGAAGTTTTATCACTAAGTGTATGCTATGCAATATTGGATAGTTTATGTTTGTAGCATCGGGATGCTTTCTTCTTTAGAAGACAACAAAAATTTGTGCATGTAAAGGGAGGAGAAAAACATAGAGCTAGTCTATTATTCCACCTCTAGAAGGTATGAATTTGACCACCATATTCTAGGATTCTTGCTAGGATCAAGATTACTCCTAATGAAAAACATAAGAAGCTTTTTTTCAAGTTATTGATATCCATCAAATGATCGACAGTGGATCATCACAACCTAATCAAAGGCTAGGATGCACCGACACGGTCACGACGACACGGACACGACACGACACGGACACGACAATTTATAAAAATATAGGACACGGGTGCGGCATGGACACGACATAATAATTTTTTAATATAATATATATAAATTAAGATGATATTATAGTAAAAATGACAAGCAATAATAAATCAATTTCATGATAACTTGTTTAGCTTATAACATAAAGATGTTTAGTACAAAATGTCTAATACAACCACAAAAATATAAGCAAAAAATAATTTAATACAATATGAAGGTCCAACTACTCAATAGAGGGAATGATAGAAATAGATTCAGATGTTGGTCTTTGGCCTTCAATATCATCATCATTGAATATCATTGCTTCCAACTCTGGTTCATCTAGAGAAAGATTTGCAACCTCCAATAATCCCATATCATCAAGACACTCGAACCTATCTCCAGCATCATCCCACATCTTGTTATCACCTGCCATATAAAGTGGGATTTTTCTTGATAGAAGACAAAGATTTGTATGCACATAAATTAAATCTTCAGCACGTTGTGGAGTTATTTTATTCCTCTTCATTGATTGAATAAATGAGTATGTGCTCCAATTTCTCTCACAACAGGAAGAGGATGATACTTGACCAAGAAGTTTTATTGCTATTGTTTGAAGAAGCGGTGCTGAAGCTCCATGAATCAACCACCACATTTTTGGATCTATCATCCATTTATCAACTAAAGATTCTTGATCACCAAAATCCTCTAAATATCTAAAGAACTTTGCAAGTTCTTTATTAATTTTTCTTCTCGCCTCCTTATTTGGGAAATATCTTTTCAGACATATCTTTCTCATATTTGAAACTTCTAAATTTTTTGTGGTGAGACACGTTGAGGGTCTTCTTAAAGTCATTCTTTACTTGAATACCTTCAAATAATACAAAACATATAAAATTATCTGTTCATTTACCAACAAATTTAAATTAATTTAAAAGATGAATATAAATATACTTTGGATTTAATGCATGAGCCAAACAATGCAAAGGTATGTTGCTTTTGCTTCACCTATCTTCAAGAATGGTTTTTAAAGTTCGTAAGTTGTTTGTATGAGAAGATACCGAGTATGTACCTAGCAGTACCGAGCATATATTGAGCAGTACCGAGCATGTACTGAGCGGTATCGAGCATATATTGAGCGGTATCGAGCATGTATTGAGCGGTACCGAGCATGTACAAAGCGATACCGAGCATATATTGAGTAGTATCGAGCATGTGCTGAATGGTATCGAGCATGTACTGAGCATATATTGAGCAGTACCGAGCATGTACTGAGCGGTACCGAGCATATATTAAGCGGTACCGAGCATGTACTGAGCGGTACTGAGCATGTGCATTAGACTTTTCAACAATGAAGAGAAGAAATGGCGAAATTCACTTACAGGTCTTGGCTCTCTTGCGCGCAGAAGGTGCTCTGTTTGGCCTTGATTGCGAACTTTGCCTCGGATGACCGCAGAAATCACTCAAGAATGAAGGAATGGGAAAGACAAGCTCTGCTTGGCCTCGGCTCGAGCAGAGATGACGAAGGAACGGGAGGCGAAGGCAGCGGGCTTTGTTTGGCATCGACTGCGAGCTCTCCTGGTCCGCCCTAGAAGATTTCTTTCGTGGATCGGAAAAATAGGGCTTCTAGTTCGCGGAAAAGGCTAAATAGAACGAATGATTTTATCATTTAATAACCGGACATGCGTGTCTGATTTTAATTTTTTAAATTGCGGCACTCCAATGCCGTGTCGGACACATGTCCATGCCGTGTCCGACGCGTGTCCGTGTCTGACACGTGTCCGACACTGTATACCCTCTTTAAGAGGCGTGTCGGTGCATCATAGATCAAAGGTCCATGTTTGCAAGGAGAAAGAAAAGAGAGTAAAGATCAAATATATAAAAGAAGGAAAAAAATTGATTTAGAATACAAAACGACCAAAACTGGGGAACTATGTTCTAGGATGCTCTTGGAAAATTTGCAAAATTAATATTGAAATAATAAATTTACTAATTTAAATTGCGGAGGGGCTTAATTACAAAGTTGCAATTTTAAATTCTAAGGAGGGGGGACCCAATATTCATTCCACAAATTTCTCCTATTTATCTCAAGGGTAGATCATTTTTTAAGGAGAGAATCCAAGGGTTGTTAACCACTTGTGAGGTTTAATTTTTTTATTATTTTGCTTTGAATTTGAATGAAGTTTTAGATTTCCTTGGGTCTCTATAAATAAATATCAAGTTGTATTCTAAAATTCAGTTTGGATTGAATGAAACTTTATTCTTAGTCTCCCAAAACTTTTATTGTCAAAATTCCCATTAGCTTCTATGGGAAATTGTAGTCTCCCAAAACATTCTTTCGTCCTAAAAATTCTTTCTTTTATTTTCCTTTCCTTCTGCTAGGACGTTGCCTTCCATTTTCCTTTTCTTGTAGGTAAAACCTGCAAGAAGACCTTTGCAGGTCCTGTAGTTGAAACCCTTAACACCCATGCTGCTGTCTCTCCTGTTTCATTTATACTGTAGCATTGCCAATTGGCTGTGTGATGCTGCTGAACAATTTGCTTTCCACTGCTGTTCTGCTGTTGTGTTTGCTGCTGTTTTGCTGTTGTACAGTAATCCAGAGGCAGAATTTAGCGGTTGGCTTGCCTTCCAGTGAAAGATGACTACAAAACAGAGAGAAAACTTGCTGGCCACAGCAAGTAGGAGAAAACAGTGAAGGGAAGTCATCTACAGCTTGAAACAACACTTGATGTATCTTTGATATTTTGATAGATCAATAGGAATCCTCCAGAAAAATTTTCTAAAGGCCCTTTCAAATATGAAACGGGATCTCATTATATGCTTACATAATAATGTTGAGTTGGCTATTGATCAATTTGGTACTAGAGCAATGATCCTTGACGTGATACAAATGAAGAAGTGATATGAAGATTGAAGATAGCTGCGTCTTGTCTTGAAGACTATTAAAGGTTAAGAGAAATATGAGAAGAAGTAATAGAAATCCAATCAGTGGCTAACATTGATTTTACACCAAATTTAATCGATCAAGTGGCTAGCCTAAGCTGGCTACCATGATTGTGTGGATGAAATGCTAACAACAATCATTGTGACTAGTGGGTCATAATTCTCCTTCTTCCATGATGGATGCAAACATAAATGGAGAGGATGAAGATGAGACAATGATTACCACTTGTTAAGGAAGGATATGTCCATGCAAAGAGGAAGCCAAAGGAGAGATTCCTACTTATGATGAGGTTGTTGATGCTGAGAAGCTCGATGCATGAATCAGTCAGTTGGAATCTTCACCTTATGTGGGTATGGCACCAATGACAATGTTGCCTTTGTCTAAAGTTAAGCCATCAGACCTTAGCATGTTGAAATGCCAATCTTTAGATAACTAATTATCAGGAGGTGACCTGAAGGTTATTCTTGCAATTTATTTTTAAAAACCCTATCCAATGGGGTATGTAGAAGGTAGGTGGAAGAAGTAGCACAATTTGAGGCAACACTAAGAATAATTTGTGCCACAAAGTTCCTACATTAGGCATTTATTTTGGGAATAAATTTTGTGTAGGTATAAACATTGATGATGTATATCTTAGGACTTTATTTTTAAATTGCAAATTAACTATGTGTGCTCTTAATCTTCGATCTCAGTTGGGCCAAGATGATGGCGTTGATGCAAAGCCGATTCTTATGCTGGTTCAGACTGGCCATCTGATTGCTCACGGTTAAATCGGCTGGTTCGGTCTGATTTTTTTAATTATGGCTGTAAATTGCCTACGAATAGGGAGCACACGAGAGGATTTTTGCACCCCGTGGATGTAGATGAAGTAAGAGGTGATCAACGCATCAATTAGCAGCCAAAAGAATCTATCCTTTTCTTTTAAATTGGATACATAAATTGGGATTGCCCACTATACTCCATATCATTGCTTTTTAGTTGAGTTGGATTCCGAAGAGAGTTAAGATGAAGATTGATCTACAGTGTCATTTGAAGTTTATAAAAAATTAAAAATCAATGAGATGTTATGCTTGGTGGGTCCATGTGACATTTGTCAAGATATCTTTGGCAGCTCGTATCTATATAAAAATGATGATGTCAACGTACAAATGATGCAAAAAAAATCTTTCTACTTAGAAAAAGCATACAATATACTTATAACAGATGTGCTAACAATAGGATAAGCATGTAGAGTTATCAATACAGTCAGAAATCCCGTTTGTTGTTGGTTTGGCTTGTCGAAGAAGGAGAAGTCATGATCTCTTTACCACGAGCAAAGAAAGTGACATGTATATGCAAAAGCTGATCAAGAAGCAAGATGCATCTCCAACACATTGCTACTAAATTTGCCAATTTACTAAAACTAAGTGAAGGAAATGAAGGATTGGTCGAGATTGCATAGTTGCACAATGTTGTACTTTTAGCTACACGAAGACTTCCAATAGGTGGAAAAAATTTGTCTTTCAAAAAGCAATTTAGTAAGAACTGTCGAAAGTGTAGAAACCTCTATTATAGATGGAGCTTGAAGAGCTGCCCTCTGATACATTTGTGGACCCCACCTCATTTCAAGAGAAAAAAGGCTCTTGTTTTGTGGGTCCTAGCACCTCATTTCAAACCTATAGGAGATCATTAGAGGAAATGTGAGGTGCATTTATGGCGGGATTAGGGCTGATTTTAAGGGGGAAAGTTTGTATGTGGGAGGGATTATGTGAAGAATTTTTTGAATTAGTTTTTCTTAGGTGATTTTGGGTTTCTAGTTGCTGATAGGAAATTTGGGGAGAGCCGATTCACTTCTCGAACAGTGAATCAATTCTATCTTGTGTTTCTTTGATTGAAGATTATTATTTCAGCTTTATTAGTGTGTTCTTGCATACCATTGCTGTTTTCTCTTGATTTTGGTGACTGTTTTTCGCTGTTTAGTGCTGATTTCGTTCTAGTGGCTGTTTTGGGTGCTGATTTGATCTCCAAAACATATCATCCTCTAACTAATTTGCGGAAGAAAATGATAAAAAGCCAGGGCCTCATCCATTTTGGCAAACTCAAAAGAGGAGAATTACTATAGAACCAAGTCAAATCAGGCAACACATCCAACATAGGCCTTCTGATATTCTTAGGAGTCTCTAATAGATAAAAAAAACTCCAAAGATTCAATGATTTTGGAGGCTTTTTAAGTTTTAAAAGGAAGCATTTAATATCTATTAGGAACTTCCTGTAAGATCGCCAAAAATCATCTATGATTATTATTTGGGCATCTTATCATGGAAATATTAGAGAGATCATGCTTATTGAAGTTTTAACGGTTCAATTGTTCTGTGATAATTGCCAATGAGTTTTATTTCTGTTGGCAATAGTTGTGTTTTTATTTACTGCCTTTTCCCCCTTTTTTTTACTTCTGGTTTTGTCTATGAATTGATTTGCTTCTATAAGATTCCTCTAATAACCAAGCTTAGCATTTTATATTTATTTCATTTCATTTATTCTACTATCGGGTATTTTTTTTTTCATCAAATGCGAGGCTTCATTAGATACTAAATATAGATCTTTTAGTTCACAGCTCACTTACCTTGAATTAAATATTTTTTACTAATTGTTTGTTTTGTGCAGCCATATTGGCGGATGAAATGGGGCTTGGTAAGACTGTGCAGGTAAATTGGGCTTAAATATTGAAGAGAAATTTGGCTAGTTTTTTCATTTGTATCCAAAATGTTTTGATTTTTGCCGTGTCTACAGGCAGTTACATACTTAACTTTGTTGAAGCACCTAAATGATGATCCTGGTCCCCATTTGATTGTATGCCCAGCTTCTGTTTTAGAGAACTGGGAGAGAGAATTGAAAAGATGGTGCCCAACATTTTCTGTTATCTTATTCCATGGAGCTGGAAGGGCGGTCTATTCAAAAGAATTAAGTTCTATGGGCAAAGCTGGTTTGCCACCACCTTTCAATGTAATGCTTTCATGTTACTCGCTTTTTGAAAGACGCAGGTTTGCAAATTCTTTTCTTATCATTATATGCTATTTAAGTATTGGCTTGTCCTTAAATGCCTACCTACACTGCTTTTTCTCGCAGTTCACAGCAGAAAGATGACCGTAAGGTATTGAAACGGTGGCAATGGAGCTGCATAATTTTAGATGAAGCTCATGTTATGAAAGATAAAAATAGTTTTCGATGGAAAAATCTTATGTCAGTTGCAAAAGGTGCTCGACAACGTCTAATGTTGACCGGAACACCTCTTCAAAATGATTTGCATGTATATTCACCTTTGCTATTTTGTCTTTTTTATTCCTGCTAATGTTTCTGTAGTAGTTATGTTATTTGAATTTTCTTATTGATTCTTCCATACAAATGTACTCTTTTAGTTTTTCTTTCTACAAGCTTAAGTATTTATCATATGATGCATATCTTAGTGGTGCATGATTGGGGTAAGGGGAAAAGGTTCTATTACCTTTGTTATCATGGAGATTATTTGTAGACATTATACTATTTTTGTAAAAAGATAGTGGGACCCCCAAATCTATCAATCTTGGTTGGGAGTCTTGAGCACTTGAATTAATGGTTCTAATTGTTGGATTGATCCTATTATAACTTTTAGATTGCAATCTATGCACCTCGCCTTTCTCTTCTAGCGGTTGACCTCTCTTGGGGATCATTTTCCTCTTTTTTTTGTTAATTAGCTTTGATTTGTTTCCATTTTAAGGCTTTTGACAAAATCTATATATACTTCCACATTTTGTATAGAATCAAAGAATAAAATTCAAAGTAGTTTTTTTTTTCATATTTCTTTGTTTTGACACAATTTTAGAGTGAGGTTAGGGTATTATTCTCCCAACATTTATTCTCCTTTTCTTCCTCTTATTAAAGATTTTTCCTTATCTTCATTATATTTGATTTCTCTGACTTCCCTTTTTAGGAGTCAACTTTCATGAATGATGAAAATGAAACTAGGGAGAACTCCATGGGCTACAAGCCTCATTCACTGTATATCTTATCAAATAAAATTTTGTTGTTGTAATATTTCTCTCCTTTTTTATTGTCGTAATTAAAAAAAAAAATTCAATACTAACATCAAGGTATTTTGAACTGATAATTCTTGTGATTTTTTAATCACATATTATCATCTTTCTTCCATAAAGAAAGCATCATCCACTAATCATATTATCCTGACACTCTGATGGAAAGGATAAATCACCATGTTATGGAAGTTACTAAGACTTCTCTTTTCCAGAATCAAGCATAAAAAAGATACAGGGTAAAAGCAGTCCTAACGGCTGCATGCCTAATCAATAGAATACTCTCTAGAGTGGTTGATTTCAAAAGTCCCCTAAATTATCTAGCTGAATTTTTTCCCATAAATAACTTTCTACCAAAAATTCCACCAAAAATCTTTGGATGCATTGTTTATGTCCACATTCACAAACAATGCAGAGATAAATTTGGTAATGGAGCCCTCAAATGTGCCTTTACCTTCACTCAAAAAGTACATAAGTGTTATCATCCTGTCACTAAAAAAGTTTTTACTTCAAAAGATGTCACTTTTGATGAGATAAAAGTTTTTTTAGACAAACTTATTATTAGGGGGAGAACTCTCAGTTGTAAGATAATGAAACATCTTTCTTTCACTTTGACATTCCAGCAACACAAACTCTAACAAATTCAAACACTATACCCCTTCAAATCTATACAAGAAGCAATAAGCCCAGTCCAATCTCCAACAAGCTCAAGGCTAGAAATTGTTAATAGGTAGCAATGATCAATACTTTTTTAAGCATTCTCCTCTATATCCTATCTTCAGTGCATATCTTTTCAAAAAATATTTCCTACCCATAAAGCCTTCCTTCCAAGCATAAGCTCTAATTCTATTATAATACCACAAACCCTATTTTAGCACTTGAAAACAAAAATTAAAAAGTTTTCATGAGAAAAGAAATAAATGCTTTGAAAAAAATACGTTTAAGAGATCAACAAACTATTAAGAAGAAAGAAAACTATATGATGGAAATGTTTTTTTTTTCTGTTAAATATTGAGCATATGAAAGTCTGTAGCAATAAAAAATAAGATTGATAGCTAAATGATATATTCAATTATATGGAATCAATTATCAAGAAATTTTTACTCCTATTATGAAAATGAATGTAATATATATCCAAAATTTTCTTATGACCAATCGTGGATGATCTTTGCAATAATATGGTGTAAAGATTGCTTTCTTTTATGGGAATGTTGAAGAAGTTTGTATGTATCCACTGTTTTTATTTGATAGTTTTTTCACAAAAACAAATTGTGCACATTAGAAAATGCTCTATATGAACTTAAATAATCTCGAAGGTTTGACAGATTTACAAAAGTAAAAAATGAAGCTGGATACATATAAAGTCAAGGGGATTATACTTTCTTCATAAAACCTCTACTAACAGTATAATCTCAATTCACATTGTACATATTGACGATATAATTGTTACAGGTGATGACAATAGAGAAAAAACAGTCTGTAAGGAAAAATTTTATTGAAGAATTTGAGATCAAGGAGTTGGGCAAGCTCAAATGCTTTTTAAGCATGAAAAATTGCACAATCAGAATAAGGAATATTCATCTCTTAATAAAAATATGTTATAGATTTACTGAAAGAATAAAAAATGACTGATTGCAGACCTTATGAAACCTCAACTGAACCTAGTAAAAAATGGAATGCAGATGATGAAGGAAAAGAAGTACCAAGGGATAATATCAAAAATAGTTAGAAAATTGATCTATTTATCTCACACATGTCTAGACATAACTTTTGCAATAAGACTGAAAGAGTCTCATTTTCAAGCTGCTTATAAATTTTTTAAATATCTAAGATCAAGTCTAGGCAAAGGAATTTTATATAAAAGGTAGCATATTTTATAAATTGAAAGGTATATTGATGAAGATTATGCAGGATCATAAGTAGATAGAAGATTGTGGCTGGATGCTGTACGTTTTTTGGAGGACATCTCATAAGATCCAATGCTAAATCTGAATTTAGAGCTATTGCCCAAAGAATATGTGAGTTTCTATGCATCAAAATTTTTTGGGAAGATTTAAATATCAAATGGGAAGGATCAATGAAGATATACAATGATAAAAATTTGTTTTCAACATTTGCTCATAATCCGTGCAACATGATCGTACCAAATATATGGATGTGGATATGTATTTTATAAAAAAGAAACTCGAAATTATGTTGATTTTACTCCATATGTGCCAATAGGAAATCAACTAGTTGACCTTCTCCTAAAAGATTTTGCAACTTCACATTCAAAAATATTATAATCAATCTCGGAATTGTAGATTTAAACCATTCAGTTTGAGGGGGAATGCTGAAAGATTCTGAAACCTACAAGTCAACTAATCTTGATAGGAATTCTTGAGCCATGAATTAATATTTTAACCATTGAATCAATACTCTTATAGTCTTTAGATTATAATCCGTGTGCCTGCCCATTGGCAGCCCTCAAGGAGTTTTTTCCTTTTCTGTTATTAGCTTTCATTTATTTCTATTATAAGACTCTTGGAAATGTCTATATATACCTTCACATTTTATATAGATTTAAACAATAAATTTTTATTGTTTTTTCATATTTTTACTTTTTCTACAATTTTTATTTTAGTGTAGTTTGGTTTAAATGTTTAAAAGCAGTCGAGTCCTACTTTTCATTTTATTTTCATGGAAGAGTTTTTGAAGATGTCTGTGATGTGTATAAACTTTGATCCTTTAAACTTTGTTGTTTTGGATTGTCCGGGCTGCATTGAGTTTCAGTGTATTGTTCTCTACCGTCAGTTTAAGTTCACTATAGGAAATAATTATTGTTAAATGCATTGTCGGAAATAATTATTGATTAGTTGGAGTGAGCTAACCCTCTCTAATTCTTATAATTTATAATATAGCATGTACCTGAGGGTTTTGGCTCCTATGTTGTTTCAATTCTTGAAATTCTTGATGCCAAACTTCTAGTTCCTTTGCTCACCGTCCAATTCATATGGATAATAGCTTAGAGGCAGGGAATAGAAATTGGCATAGGGTAAATGAGATGGTTGAGAGAAGGGTTGACGAAGGACTTTAGCAGTGCGTTACATTCCTCTTCATCATCGTCATTAATCTTATCCCAATCATTTGATGTCGGCTTTATGGTTATTCACCATTGATTCTTGTTGAGTTTTGCACGATGTGCTAACTCTATTTTGCTCAACTTCTATTAATGTTATGTTTGTTCTACTCCTTTTCATTCTAGTTCTTTCAAATTCATCATGATGATTTCATTTTTACACGCTCAATTATGCTATCAATTTTTTTTCTTTATTACCCAACATTTGGATTCAAACACTGCCGTTGCCAGGTCCCAAGTCCTGGATAAGAAAAGCGAAGGGTTGCGTTAGGTAGTCGACAAGCAGCATAAAACTTGTCGAATAATTATGACATGAATCATTTAAGAAATTGTGTTACTTTTAATAGGCCACAATGGAGAAAAAAGATTCATGTAGCCGACCCAAGTAGTGGGATAAAGGCTTGATGTTGTTGTTGTTGTACCCAACATTTGGATTCATATAAAATTTTTTCTGTAATTTAATTTATAGAAAATTTACTCCTAATTTCCATGATATTCTCTTATTACATTATTCACCAAGTGAGATCTTAACTCATGCTAATAATTGTTTTGTTATTATTTTTAGCATTAAAACCAGCAATATAATTAACTTTGAAGCTTCTAAGAATTGAAATTACGTTTCACCTTTTTAGATGTGAAGCAAATATTTGAACTCACAATTCAAGAACCCGCACATGTAATGAAATAGACTATCCCTAAGACGGTTTTGTCCAGATAATTCCTTGGAAGTTATATTATATGTTACATATAATTTTAGTAAGCATTGTCGTTGATATGATGGGATTTGAATTGAAAATGCATTTAGGTAAAAGTAAGAATGCATAACGGACGTCACTATGGTTAACTCAAGCTTGTAAAATGGAATGCCATAGCATGTTTTCGTTTGGAAGCACGATTTTCTCGTTCATGTTTTGTAAGCCTTTGAAACTTCGGACTTGCATCAATTATCTGGACTTCAAATCGAGGGCAATTAGGAAGGCAAATTAAAAACATATGATTGGCGTTGAAATTTCTTGACTATGATTTGAATGTTATATGAGTTGAGCTTTCGTGTTCTCTATGAAATAATATGGCTTGATGTAAATTTTTTGGTAGAGTTTGTGGGCATACATTATTTTCTCCAACTTACAATTTGCTCATGATAGTGGTTTGTTTCCTTGTATCATGTGCTTTTTAGAGTTCTGTGCTAATAGGGCAGGGAAGTTCAAAAGCATGCAGGAAGTTTGTTAGCCATTTCTGTGATATTACATTTTAATTAGAAGATCTGATCTTGATTTAATATACATGAGCATTTAACTACAAAAAGACAATAGAAGGAAGTTCTACTTTCACCAACGCTTTCTTTCCCCTTTCTCATCCCTGTGAAAACACCTAGAAATTAGATCATGAAAGAATTCTATATCAAAGCGGGCTACTGCAATTATGTTAAAGGTGTTTGAGATAAATTTTGCCTCAGTTGCTGTCACCATAATTCATTTAGGTGTTTCTCCTTGATAAATATAAGCTTTAAAAGAATAATTTCCTTTTGCTTCATCGTCTTAGGTTAATCCTATGATATTTAATTATGTTTTAGGTGATATTGTATCTTTGGTAAGAACGATAGTTTTTTTGGATGTGTGAGTTTTTCTGAACAATCCACAAAGAACTTGAGCGTCTTGATGTACTAGTTTTGCAATATGCAATTAATTTTAGGCACTCTCACGTTTAAAAAAATAATAGATTTTTTTATTTATTTACATAGTAACTTGAATTTATATTTGCTGAGGTTGCATGTTCTTGTTAACAAGTTGATTAGGAAAGGTGTGTTTGTTTTGAGTCTTTGTATATTACCGCTTTTCAAGTGTCAATATAAATAATCAAAGGTGAGAAAATTGAGAGATCAAACCCTATTTTAGTTCTAATCTTTATAAGTTTGTCATATGATATTTGTTAAAATTAATGGCTGTTGTTGGAATAGAATTCTAAATGACTATATCTATATTGAATTGCTTTTCTAGTACAAGCATAAAAGTCTATATCTTTGATCCGGCCGAGGTGGAATGAAGTCAAGTGCTTTTCCAACCTCCCTTTTGCGGGGAGTGGATGCTGTGAGATTGCCAAAAATTTTAATGACAAAGAACCCCCACAATTAATTTAAATAATAATAATAATAATAATAATAATGATAAAAATCATATATATATATATACACACACACAAACACACACACGCTCAATTTTTAATCAAATGAAAATATTCGTCATTCCACATGATTGTTGGTTAACATACCAAGTGACATGTACTCAGTTTTCTTAAATGGAAAGACCTTGCTATGATATAATGCCAATTGTGTACAAAAGAGAAACATGATTCTGAAGATCTTGGAGATCTAAATTCAATTCCATCCCTTGAACTGTCTCTTTAGATGCAATCTCCACATCCAGTTGGAATTTAGAGTTATTAAAGATGGGTTTTGAATCTATTGAACATGGGGATAAAGATATATTTCTCCATCTATTGTTAATATTAAACAATTAGGCTCTGTTGACATCATTCAGAGATCATGCTTACCTCATTTTACTCACCCTCTTAGTAATTGCAAGCATCAGTATTGCAGTAGTTTCAATGACCTTGACGGAACTACCAAGTCTTCATTTGGATAGTCTATCATGCCCATAAATGAAGTTGTTAATCAGGCCTCTTCAAATGAGAGAAATAAAGTAGACCTTAGCAATATGTAAAAACCCAAAAACTCCTTTAGACTGTGATATGATTAGCTCCAACGGAGGTTTCAAAATTTTGGATCGTTTAATGACTAGAAGTGAGAAAGATGCAACTATACATACAAAAGAGAGTTGGGCTGAATAACCCTTATGTTGGCAGGGTTGAATATAGATTTCACATTTCAAGTTCAAGAAATGTATACAACATAGCATTTGGCATGTAATTGTTGTTGATGTCTTGTAGCATTATATTTTCCACAAGCATTGCAACAATGGAAGGCTTGATATATGATGCATGCAATTCGGGCCCTATGTGTTATTTGTATAGAAAAGCCTCCTAAACTAGAGGAAATTAATATATTAAGGACCAAAGCTGGTACCAAGATCTTGAGGAAGTTAATTGTTTCCATAGCTCATTAAGATTTTGCATTCAAAGAGATTGCAAAATTTCTCAAACCACTCTAAAATCATGAATGGCATTGATTACATAAGCTAGTCATACACACCATCAAACAAATTTCAAATTTGAACATAACACTTAGCATATTTCATTTATAAGACACATATACTAGTGTGTTGTAAATATATTGCAAGTGTAAAATGCTTTATACCATAATGATGTGTAGAATGCATTATATAAAAATAACAAGCAATATGTATTATGCGAGAACAACATTCAAAGCTTACTAATACAAGAGTAATGAGTAAATGTAAAATACATTGTGCAAATGTAATGAGAAAGCAAAACATATTATCCAAGTGTAATGGAAGTGCAAAATACACTAAAATTTATTATACATGTGCTCCAACCTTTATGGCAAGCTCCTAAATGCGAGATCTGAGAATGCTTTGTGGATTTGTTAAAAGTGCTCCAACACTATGATGATGGTCGTCTTGATAGAAAATCTCAACCAAAGGGGGCCCTAGTGCCTTCCAAAATATCCATGATTCATAATAGAAATACAATATATTTAAAGTGACAATAAAGTCATCCCGATGATGGCCGTGTTGATAAAAAATCTCAACAAGAGGGCACATTGTCTTTCAAAATATCCGTGAACCCTAATGGAAATATAAATATATTTAAAGTGGTGGTAAAGTCACCTCGATGATGGCTGTGTTGATAGAAAATCTCAACTAGATTGGACCCTGCCTTTCAAATATCCTTGAACCCAATGGAAATACAAATATATTTAAAGTGACTATAGAGTCACCCTGATAATGGTCGCGTTGAATGTAAATCTCAATCCTAGGGTTTAATTCTTAAAGCTTATTAAGATTTTAAAATCTAATATCTAACAAATTCTAAATATTTAAATGGAAATTTAATCACAAAAAAATTAAAACTAAAATCCATCCACACTTCGCACAGTTTGACAAGGATGATAAATTGAATAATAACTTCAACTCACAAAGAGTAAATGTCTTGCGGCATGTAGTATTACAATTCATTCTCAATTGATTCATTGCCAGCAGGGACGTGGCACGTGACCTCTGACCTGGTGGTTTTGCTGCAAAATGTCACCACTATATTACGGTCACAGTCAAAGCCTGTATGTTTCAGAATGGTTAAAAATCTCATGAGTAATGAATTATAGGGTGCACTTTATAAGATATAAAGCCCTCTATTAATCAAGCTTGACTTAAATTCATCATCTTAGAAAACGTCAATCCTAGCTCTATAAGGTATTCTTGGACGAAGCAATCTATGACCGTTGACAAGGTTCCTTCTGTTTGGTTGATCGACTATCTACTATAAGGACCATGATAGCCTGGGATGACGGAATTATGGGATTTTGATCGGGCTCGTCATTCTTCCCCCATCATCCGCTTTAAAGTTTATGATGATGAATTTCAAATCATGAACTCTAAAATTCAAAATCAAATTCAAGCCCTAAAATTGTTGCTACTATACGTTAGGTAATTATTGCGACCTATTTAATGACTATCCTTAATCGAAAGTTCTCTTGTTATCGGGAGAGGTAGTTAAGCATAGGGGCTTGTGCCTATGGGAAATCAGAACTCAGATTATAAAATTCTCGTAAAATGAGGGTGAAATCTCTGAGTAATGTCTTATCTAAAAATCTAATATATCTTCTGAAAATCTTTCTCGGAACCTAAACTCGTTAAAACTCTCTCAGTCAACAAAATAGGCGTTGAGAGGCCGGGGTGCGAATTTTCCGAGCCTACACCATTTCTTATAATTTCAGAAAAATTATAGACCTTGAAATTTTCATAAAATTTTTTTTATGTGCTTAAAACATTGGCATCCTCTACACAGGAGTTGTGGTCGTTATTGGAATTTATGATGCCTGATATTTTTACAACCGGAGATATTGACTTGAAAAAGTTGCTGATTGCGGAAGATACTGATCTAATTCCCCGTATCAAATCCATTCTGGGCCCATTCATTCTTAGGCGCTTAAAATCTGATGTAATGCAGCAGCTTGTACCGAAGATACAGCATGTGAGTCCTTTGGCTTTTTATTTTTGCAACCGTTGCTTTTTCCCAGAGTTTAACAATCTGTTTACTTCTCCTTTGCTAAGTGGTGAACATTTTTATTATGCAGGTTGAGTATGTTGTAATGGGAAAGGAACAATCTGCAGCATATAATGATGCCATAAATGATTATCGTGCAGCTTCTGAATCTCGTTCCATGAAATCTTCAGTTAGGACACCCAATAATGTTTGTAGCCTCTTTCCCAGTCGTCAGATATCCAATTATTTTATGCAATTCCGTAAGGTACTATGTTTCCTATTAATTTACTATATCTCAAATATTTTGTGGACAACATTATAACTAACATTTCATGGATCTTTTATTAAAAACTTCTACTTATTAGTGCATTGTGATATTCAGATTGCAAATCATCCCCTACTTGTTCGGCGTATTTATTGTGACGAAGATGTTGTTCGAATTGCTAAAATATTATATTCAAAGGGTGTATTTGGCTTTGAATGTACCGTAGAGAGAGCTATTCAAGAAATAAATGGCTACAATGATTTTTCCATTCATCAGGTATTTTATTTTCCATGCCTTATATTATTATTTGTCATATTTTCAAGTTCATGATCAAATATAGATATGGTTATGCTTGTTACATGAATCATTCTGTTAATTATTTGTGGTAGGTTGATTGATGCGTCAAATAGCACAATCCACTTCCGTTGGATATAAATAAGTTTTGACTAATTATTTAGCCTCGACTTTGGAAAAACTTATGTGGGAAAAGATGTTCTGGTTATCATTATGTCATTTGGGACGGTTGATTTATACTGAAAGTTTGGATATTTTTTATGTTCTTAGGGATGCCTTAATTTCAATTACTTTTTTAAGATTGTTAATAAGTTATTTGTTATTTAAATTTTTTTTGCAACATCATCATTATCATCCTTAGCCTTAGCAACTATAATGGGTTGACTTTGTTTATCCTTATTTCATACTTGGTGAGAGCTGCAAGTGTCTTCTAATACAGTTTATGTAAATATTTTTAAACAAATTCTAACATAGTTTCCTATAGAGTAGTTTTATTTCTATGCCTTCATTTTCTATTTTTTTGTTGTTTGTATCAAATCATGTGAATCTAGGTATCTATAGGTATATCTTCAAATGTTTTCTCTATCATGATTTGTCATATGGTCATTTGGTATGACTAATGTTTTTAAAGCACAGGTGCAGAGCAATGCTTAAGGGTTCCTTTTTGCTTCATTTAACGAAGCAACTTTTTTACGAACTAGAACAATCATGATTTGTAAGTCAAATATGCCATGCATTTTGTTCTTACAATAGTTATTTAATTAAACAAACTTAAACTACATATAATAATGAGTCATTCAATAATAGTGATTCATAGTTAAAAAAGAATAAAAAATAATGAAGTGATGAAAAAATATTTAAAAATCATTAATGCTTTTAAGATGGCAAGTCTGCTAGAGATTGAGAGATGGAGATAGGGTGAAGTGACGAAGTGCGTGAAGATGAAGCAAAGTATTCTAAAGACTACTCTCGAGAAGCAGCTGCAAGTGCTAGCAACAAAAATGAATGAGAAGCATATAAGAAAATCCACAGGCAAGGGAGCGTGAAGATAACCGTCAAGAAGCAACTAGCTCTTAAAGGAGAGAACAGATAATCAATGAGTAGTGACTACATGAACCAATGAGGAATTGAGGATAAGCGAGCATTTGTGTTTAATTTATTATGGCGGATGTTGATATGATCCTATAGTCTGGTATGAGATATTTTATTGAGCCAAGGATGAGCGAACAACGGTAAGGCTTCATAAAAAGACGTAACCCACATTTTGTTGTGATCTCACACTTTGCAGGCAAGCAATGTATATGCAGCACATCGTTTCATTTTGCTTCTAAAGCAAGATTTTAAGCGTGTTTTTAATAACACTAGGCACAATATCCTTCCTTGTTCCTTCACTCATCATAATATTCTAGTTTTCTTACACCAATCAGTTTGGTATCATGGACTTTCTTTTTCCACCACTCATTTCATGTTGTAAAGTTAGGCGCAACTATTTTTTCATCATTACTCTCATTTTTACCACACTTGATTGTTTGTGACTTGTTGTCCACTATAGAATTCCATGCTATGAAACTACTCTTATTAGCTTTTTTTAAATAAAAAATTTCTTTTTTTTTTCAGGGTTTTATCTTATTAATTAATATTTTAGGGGCACCTTTTCATTTTGTCCACCTAATTTTGATTGATATTAGTAATATTCTCATCTATATGTACATTCTTTATCATTGATTTGATAAAACTTATCTTCTATTATTATGTATTATGTGATATTATGCTATCCACTCTTATTACTATTGAGCTTATAAATCCATCTATCACTTGGAGCATAACTATATCAATTCAAGATTCGATAAAACCTTTATTTTCTAGAATGGCCATTTTATTTTGAGTACATAGCAAAGCTTAACAAGTATTTTCTGTAAAATGCATGAGATGTGTAACCAAAAATACATTAAGTATACATATTGATTTCTTAGTAAATGTTGAATCCATGGGAAGTCACCTACCGAAGTATTTATAAATGACATCTGACTAACTTACATCAAGTGATTTCTACTTATTTCTCCTATAATGTCTCTTTTTTTGTCATTCATTACAATAGGTGTTCAAATCAAAATGATTTTTCTCTTTCATAATAAATGAGTTGGCTCCTGAGCTGACTCAAACTCATAGAATTAATTCGATTTCGAACTTTATTATTTAATCAAGCTCAAGCTCAAGTGGAGGTGACTTGAGCTCAAATTGATTCATTTACACCCTGTGCAACACAAAATAAAGCTATTGATGCGGACATTCAATCGTCCATGCCTATCTGAGGAGCTGAAGATCGACGGCCGTGATCGTCCTACGTTATTTTAAATTTTTATTTGTAATTTTTTATTTTAATTATGCATTTTTCCAATTTTTACCCTTAAGGGTCTAATATTATGTAAGCCCTAGGGGCATAATCATCTTATTTTAATTTCTTTTATTTCTGATGCCTATATATAGAGACCCTTGCTAGTGTAATGGTATGATGGAGTTTTAATAAAATTTTGTTTTGCACTTTTGTTCCTTGGGAGGACGTTAGTGAAAATTCCTATGGAGGGAATCCTAGTTTCCACCAGCCGCAGGATGGTTCAAGCTCGAGCCGTAGGATGGGTTCGGGCTCGTGGTTTAAAGTCCCTTGGTGAAGGGCAGCGCATCACCTGTCAGTCTTCAGAAGAGTCCAAGGCTCGCGGTTATATATATATCTTTCTTCTTTGTTTTGTGTTCCTAATTTCCCTAAACCGTCACCTCCTTAAGCCCTCCACCAAGGAGCTGATCTTCTCACCCCATCACCTCCACGCCATTGGCCTACACCAGCCCCTCCCTTCCTCCTCCCTCTCCCCTTGGCCAAAATCCACCAAGGCTCCGCCCACCTGCCGGCCACCTCCTTCTCGAGCCCCACTTCCCTCCAAAAATCCCTCTTTCTTTATTTATGTTGTCATTAATTTGAAAAGATTTCAAATTCGAATTAATCTAATTTGAATTTCAAATCCACCCTCATTAATTACATTAATTTTGAGAAGTTTTTTTATTTAATTAATTAATCAATTCTGAATTTGATTGATTAATTAATCCCATTCTCAAATTTCAAATGCTTTCCTAATTAATACATCTATTTTAGGAAGCATTCTCAATTGATGCAAATATGAAATTAATTCAGATTTGAAGTTATCAATCAACATTCAATATAAATATTCACATATGTTGAATGTGGCTGCTCCCCTCTTCCCTCCAATTGTCGGCCCACCTTCCCTCCCCTTTTCTAATTATTTATTTCTTAATTTACGGCCTAAGATTAGGGAATATTAATTATCTCTTCCCACCTTTATTCTTCTTGCTTGAAATTCAATTTTTTTTTTAAATCTCTCCCATCAAAATATGCAATTAATTTCAGATTTTGAAATTACCTCCCCCACCTCCTCCCTTTCTACATCAGTTTGGTATCAGAGAATGGTTGCTCACCTGGGACATGAACTCGACGGAGTCGAGCTCTTTTTCACCCCGGGAGAATGATGCGGACATCCTATCGTCCATGCCTATCCGAGGAATTGAAGATCAACGACTTTAATCGTCCTACATTATCTTAAATTTTTATTTGTAATTTTTATTTTAATTTTGCATTTACCCTTAATTAAGGGTCTAATATTATGTAAGCCCTAGGGGCATAATCGTCTTATTTTAATTTCTTTTATTTTGATGCCTCTATATAGAGGCCCTTGCTAGTGTAATAATATGATGGAGTTTTAATAAAATTTTGTTCTGCACTTTTGTTCCTTGAGAGGTGGTTAGTGAGAATCCCTATGGAGGAAATCGTAGTTTCCACCAGCTGTAGGATGGGTTCGGGCTCGTGGCTTGAAGTCTCTTGGTGAAGGGCAACGCATCACCCGTTAGTCCTCAAAAGATTTCAAGGCTCGCGGTTACATATATATATATATATATATTCTTTCTTCTTTGTTTTGTTTTCCTAATTTCCCTAAACCGCCATCTCCTCAAGCCCTCCACCAAGGCGCTGATCTTCTCACCCCATCACCTCCACGCCATTGTCCTACACCAGCCCCTCCCTTCCTCCTCCCTCCCCTTGGCCAAAATCCACCAAGGCTCCGCCCACCCGCCGGCCAGCTCCTTTCTGAGCCTCACTTACCTCCAAAAAATCCCTCTTTCTTTATTTAAGTTGTCATTAACTTGGAAATATTTCAAATTCGAATTAATCTAATTTGAATTTCAAATTTACCCTCATTAATTACATTAATTTTGGGAAGTTTTTTTATTTAATTAATTAATCAATTTTGAAATTGATTGATTAATTAATCCCATACTCAAATTTCAAATGCTTTCCTAATTATTACATCTATTTTAGGAAGCATCCTCAATAGATGCAAATTTGAAATTAATTCAGATTTGAAATTATCAATCAACATTCCATGCAAATATCCACATACGCTGAATGTGGCCGCTCCCCTCTTCCCTCCATTGGCCAGCCCACCTTCCCTCCCATTCTCTAATTATTTATTCCTTAATTTACGGCCTAAGATTAGGGAATATTAATTACCTCTTCCCTCATTTATTCTTCATGTTTGAAATTCAATTTTTTTTTTTAAATCTCTCCCACCAAAATTGGCAATTAATTTAAGATTTTGAAATTATCTCCCCCACCTCTTCCCATTCTACATCAACTATGCTCATAATAACTTTTCATGGTAAATATTCCATTTATATGATTCCATTCAAAACTCTTAATCAGCTTTTCCCTTTTTTATCTGATAAGATCTTTATCAGTATCCTCAAAATTTCTATTTTTCCTTCATCCTCTTTATAATGTATATGGAATGATATAAATCCATCCTCCTTTGCTAAAAGCCTACGATTTTTGGTTTGCTTTTATTCTTAATTTATAAGTTAAACGTATAACATTCACAAAGTAGCAAGAAGAATGAAGTACACTAAAAAACTAGATTCTTCCAAAAAAATTTATAAAGGCAACATTGCGTGACAAAATCCTAAATCTTTCCAAAACATGAATGCATTGAAGACCCCTTAAATGCTGCATTATGAAAAAATGTAAAAGGATTTAGGAGAATACTAGTAATATAAGGAATAAACCATAAAAAAGATTGAAAAAGAAAACATCAGAACTAAGAAAAACTCGACAAATGTGAGCAAAAAAAAAAAAACTCTAATATGGTTGAGAATGATTGGAGTATCTTTAAAATAAATTTTTATTGCACTACTGTGCGGTTGATATTCAAATTTGGCCTAAAATCTTGATGTAGTTGTGGGAATTGTGTATGAGGTAGATGAAGCATGGAGAGATGCCTTGCTTCGTTACTTTGAGATCCCTAAGATAGGCTTATAAACATGCATTTTAGGCATAAAAAAATTAATAGAATAGGTATGCATGGAACCTAATGTAATATCATTCATAGGTTCAAATGTAGTATTTTTAGAAGTACTTACCAAATTGAAGTGCAATCTATACATCAATGAATTGCATGTAATTTAGCTTATTAAGAAATTCTATTTAAAGAACATGTTAAATAAAAGATATTGTTATAGAAAAGTAATATGAAGGAAATTATCAAGTATGCATTTTATGATATTGAAAATGTATTGTGATGAGGACGTCCGACCTTGGAGAGTCCACCAGAGACGGAGCCGTCGATCTACGGCCACGATGGCACCGCTTTACTTTTCATTATCATTGTATTAGATTTATTATTGATGTATTAGTTTATTATGGTTATGAATTATATTGTAACTTTCCTTTTATACCCTCACTTTAGGGCCTAGTCATGTGTATGCCCTAGGGGCAAGTTGGTCTTTTGTATTTTCTTCATTGTATTGGTTATTTAAAGCCTCCTTCTTTGAGAGGGAGGTGAATATTATCAAGAAATTTTTTGCAATTGTGTTTTGAGTGCTTGGAGAGTTTGGTGAGAGTTTGAAGTCCCTAGGTAAGGGCAGCGTATTACCCACTAGCCGCTGGAAGCGTCCGGGCTCGTGGTCCACTTCTTCCACCAACCTCTTCCCCTCTCTTCTCTCTAAACTGTCAGCCACCACCTCCCATATCCCTCTCTCGGCCAAACCCCCCACACCACCACCTCCCATATCCCTCTCTCGGCCGAACCCCCCATACCACCACCTCAAACCCTAGACTTGCCACCCCCTCTTCCACCCTACAAGCCGCGAGCCGCCGGTCCTAGCCCTAGTCCCCTCCTAACCGTCGGCCACATCACCCTTGCCATAGCATCCAAATTCCAAGCCCCACATTTGATACTTTCCATTCATGACACATTTTCAATTAGGGGAGTTTTGAAGATATTCTCTTTATTTGAATTTCAAATTTCTTTCCTAAGATAAGATGAATTATATTAGGAAATTCCCTCCAATCAAAGGCCATTCAAATTTGGACTTAAATTAGAAGGACAATTTGTATTAAGTTATCTTTCCTAATTTAACGTGAATTAGATTGGAAACTTATTTAATCCCGTCAATTCCCTCCAATCTTCTTTAAAGCTTGTGGGCCCTTCCCTTCCCCTCTTGGCTGCCCCTCTCTCTTTCTCTCTCTCTCTCTCTCATTTATTTATTAGGCCCATTAATGCTCCTCAAATCAATCTATCAATTCCCAATTACTTCCTCCCTTTAAGGCTGAAATTAATTTCATACTTTTGAATTTGTTTCCCTCCCCTCCTTCCTATGGTCGGCCACTACCCCATCCCCTCCCACTTAAACTAATCGACCAAACCCTAATTTCATCCTTTCAAGCATCAACTACTACAAGATTTCAACATCGCAAGATTGCTTTCCTGTATTCGAGAACCAATCAAATTGGTGTCCAGAAATTACAGCACACGGTAGCTTGGTATCTTGTTGACTAGAACATTTGAGTTGGCTGTCCAGTCGTCCAACACACCTTCACTTGTTGTCCCGCCATCTGGAATACACTACTTTGTTGTCCAGACTTGTGAGAAGGCTTCCTATTGCTGTCCTCTTTCAGAAGCAACCAACATAACGTCGCCGTTGCCTCATATCTTCTGATTTTGGGTAAACTCTTCCCCTTTCCCTTTTACCTACTTACTCTCCCTTGATTGTGGCATTATTTAGATTGTGAATGCTTTCTCCATAAGCCAAATTATTTCAAGTGAGTGAGTGGGCCCAACTAGTTACTAATCTCATTGTTAATTTAAGGATTTTTCGTTGAAAGTCCTTCATGTATGCTATGCTTGAATAATCGATTATTTTGTGATCTTAACTTCTAATTGTGTGACTTGGCCTTAAGCTAGTTTCACCCCTCTCGTTTTCGTTCATTGTTTAAAATTACTACAAGTTTAATATTTAATATTGCTCTCAAATAAAAGTGTGCAACTTCTTATTTAACATTACCTAAGCATTTAAGTCCTACGTCATATTGTTGTTATAATTTTGAAGATGATGCATAAAGGTACAATTTAGTTCTTCACGTTTACATTGAGTGCTGAGAGTTATAGGAGATGCTGTAATAATATGATTATTGGTCTCATTCTAACCATTTATTCATATGGATATTAGAATGATTGGCTCAAATGAGGCCTACCATTTCAGATTTGTTCATCATCGACTTTAGCCTTGCTTCTAGGCTTTCAGTTAAACTGGTCTTAGATTGGTTATTTCATGAAATTCTCTACTTATTTCTTCTTTTGTAAATCTGCAGCTTTTGTTATCATATTGTGATTCGGGTGTTAAGGATGCTCTTACAAATGAACATGTTTTGGGATCGGCAAAATGTCAGGTTTGTATCCTCCTTGTGTGGCTAGCACCAACTTGAATTTCCTCTTGGTTTTTTCTTTTCTAAATTTTTTTTTATAGAGCCCCCAGGATAGTGGGAATTTGTAAAAACTGAAGCTTTTGTGTTTGGAAGGTTCATTTCTGCTAATTATATCTATTTTGCTGGTCATTTTCATATTGAAATAAACAAATCCACTTCCCAGATTGCTATTGATCAGTTTCATTGGTAACTGCAAAAACTTTTGCCATTTTTAAGCCAGAAATCTATCACGACCTTTACCATTTTACTACCTTGTATCTTTACCAAAATCTCCCAACCTCTTGCTACAACTTTCACCTTGGTTAGTTATGCTCTGCATGCACCCTGCTATTCCACTATGTGGATCTTTACCAATCTCTGTTAAGCTGCTTATCATTTTTATAATCCTTCTCTTCTCTTGCTCGACTTCTTTTTTTTTTGTGCACATATTACTCCCCAGCCCCCCTCCAGTCACTGTCCTCTTATTGCTGACATCTCTCATTTTTGTTAGCTCAAATGAAACCATTATTACCTCTGAGCAAAATTTTTCACTTGCTGTGATGTGTCATTATAAAGCCTGACATCTGGTTGTTTAAATCCCAAAACTTGCAATTTCTAAAGTCCTTTAATTGGTGAGTATGATAAGCCTGCCATCACAATCCTGCAATCTCTTCGATGAAACACTAACGAAGTTGCAGCATTTTGGCGACATATTATTGGCATGCTTTTCTTTTTCTGTACAGATCGATCATGCTGTTAAGGAGTTACATGTGCATTTATTGCAGAAGACCCATCCTAAAGTTATATGATTTATTTTTTTATTTATCGATTTAATTCATTCTTATGAAAAATCTTAAGAATTGTAAAACAAGTTACTTTTGAACTCATTCGCATTCTTATTTTGTTATTTGTTTATGTAAGATTTAGAAGAACTGTAAGTCTTCTTCATTTAAGCATTGGAGGGGCATAGGTTTCTCATATTAATTCAACGGAGAACTTTACCATGTTCATCCTATAGAAATTGTTAAACAAATTATGTTTGTCATTCATTTTATCTCCTTGTTGATTATTTGCCTATGTAGGTATTAGCAGAGCTTCTGCCCCGTTTAAGCATTGAAGGCCATAGGGTTCTTATATTCAGTCAATGGACAGCAATGATGGACATACTTGAATGGGCATTGGAGGTCATTGGAGTTACATACAGACGTCTTGATGGAAGGTAACGCTTTTTTGCATGTTTAGCATCTTTATCTTACTGTTGATTGAAACCAGTTATGTTACTGTTTCATCTGTATGTTTTAGTACTCAGGTGACTGAGAGGCAGACAATTGTGGACACTTTCAACAATGACCCTTCCATCTTTGCATGTTTGCTTTCCACGAGGGCGGGTGGGCAGGGCCTGAACTTAGTTGGAGCTGATACAGTTATCATACATGATATGGATTTTAATCCGCAAATGGATCGTCAAGCTGAAGATAGATGTCATCGTATAGGACAAGCTAAGCCTGTTACTATTTACAGGTATCCTGCTAATTATCAGAATTATGATTTGTGCATTTCGGGAATATGAGTTAGGATATAATATTTGACGCAATCCAAAGACCCGACCTAAAAATTTCGGGTTCGTGTATACCCGAACCTGAACCGGGTTGGGTTTGGGTTGACCCAGAAACCCGGTTTGAGCCATTTTTAATTGATTTAGGAGGCTTTTAAAGTATTGTTATGAAATAAGTAAATGCTATTTCCAAAAAATAATAATAAATCATGTTGTCAAAACTGAATTAAGCTTGGTTTATTTTAAATTGATTGAAGTAAATATTACTTTAATTCGATTTAGGTTTAAATAAATTGAATTAAATAACAAAATTTTAGTAAAACATACTTGAAGCTGGTCAGGTTCAGGTCCAAAAAAACCGACCCGTTTTTGCAAACGGGTCGGGTCAAATAGGGTCGGGTCAAATAGTGTCGTGTCAGGTCCGAGTTGGATCCGAACCCGACCCGTGAGCTGATTTTGACAGCCCTTATGAACTCCTGAGGAAGTTACTCAAAACAAGTACTTTAATTCGATTTAGGTTTAAATAAATTGAATTAAATAACAAAATTTTAGTAAAACATACTTGAAGCTGGTCGGGTTCGGGTCCAAAAAAACCGACCCGTTTGCAAAAACGGGTCGGGTCAAATAGTGCCGGGTCAGTTCCGGGTTGGATCCGAACCCGACCCGTGACCTGATTTTGATAGCCCTTGTGAACTCCTGAGGAAGTTACTCAAAACAAGTACTTACTGGTTAGTGAAGCTTTCTTAATTTATGATATTTGTGTAATGTGTTTTCATATGAGGCTTGTGTAAGGTCCAAAATTGTTTGAAACATCATGCTTCCATGTCCTTTCTCAACTGAATAGCTTAATTTCTACTAAAATAGGGAAGTACCTATTATATATATGAACTTTTGATCCTGTAGTGTAATTAGCATACCTTTTAAGTCTAAATTTAGAATTTGGAGGAAAAATCTTTTTTCCTATACAGCGTTAGTATTCAATCAACATTTTCTAATGCTTATTGTGTAGGTTACACGAATTTCAGTGTAAATTGTTATAGTATAAATATTATTTATTTTGCAGGCTTGTGACTAAAGGCACGGTTGATGAAAACATATATGAAATTGCCAGGCGGAAGCTGGTATTGGATGCTGCTGTTCTGGAGTCAGGCACAGAATTGGAAAATGGAAATGATGTGCCTCAAAAGACTATGGGAGAGATATTGTCATCCCTTCTTCTTGTTTGAGTTTGGCTGCGCAGAATAGGTGCTAAGTAATCAAATTCTTTTTCAACCATCATGCTTTCATATCCATCCTCAGTTGAATAGTCAAAATTCAAAATTAATAGTGGGTTTACATTCACAAAGAGTACTAGTTGCACCTCCATGAGCTTCTATGAGGCTTTATTCTATTGTAAAAGTCATTTTTTTTTTGCATATAAAACAAACTTAATGACAGGAGATAGAGCTTACATTTCAAGGTTTCTGCAAAGCAAGTTTTAGGAAGTTTCTGCTAACACTACGATTTGAGTGACATATTAAACTCTCAGAATTTTTGATTAGCTTAGCAGATTAATGCAATGTTGCAAATATCCAATTTCAGATTCAGATATTCATGATAACTTCATTCATGTTCTTGAGCAATATAGATAAGTTTTCTTTCTCTTGAAGTTTGGCTCTTTATTACGACGAGCAAAACTGTTTCATGAGGATCTGAATTTCTATTTCTCAGCTCTAAATTCCGTGTTAGGCTAACCTTATAATTACTGAACTGAAATTAGATTTTTTCCCCCCGACAATTGCATCTTGTACAGAATTTACACCGAGGTTCCTTTATATGTTGGTATGGAAAGGAATTTAAACGTGTATTGGAAAGAGAAGGAAAAGAAAAGAACTATTGTAAGGGCATCTCCAACCGAACTCCAAACGCTTGAATGACGTTGCCGCAGAGCTCCAGTGGAATGGTTAAACTTCCGCTATTTGCTTGCGGGTGAACAGTGGGACGCCAATATTGACGTTGCACCGTTCATCTCCGCTATTTTTCTATATCTACCTAACTTGCTGAAGAAACGCGCGAAAAGAAGAAAAAATGTTACCTTCGCAAAATTGGAGTTGGATTTGATGAATCACAGCATTTTTTTTAGTTTCACGGCATTGTGAAGTGAAAAATGATATTTTCGGTTGGAGATGGTCTAAGCCAAACTCATTACATCGAATCTTGTAAACCACCTCTTGCATTTAGTGCCGTGCAGGGCAAAACTGATGATGGCCTGAAAGACTAAAAGCTTCTGCTAGGTATGTAGAATTGTTATACTTTTTTTTTTTAATGCAGAATTGTTATACTTATTATTCTATAAATACTATATTAAGGATATGTAACATAGTGTCTTCATCATTAACCTTTTAACGTTACTCTATTGTGCTGGCCTTATGGATTATCTTTCTCCCTTCATTCATTCTCCTGTATTTTATGAGGTGTTATTTCTGTGGTTCAAAAATTTTTATGTAATTTCTGTTCATATTATTATTGAATTTTTCTTTGATTCATGATTCTTTCGCATTAATTTGGGATATTTATCTTATTCTTGTATCTTTCATTCTATGTTGTATGTTCTTAAATTAATGTTTTGTTTGGGACAGCTTTCTTACTGTTTTTAAAGCAGTTTTTTAATATAAAAATTAAAATTTTTGTATAAAAAACTGTATTAAGCAGCATTAAGAAAACCGTTCCAACTGAAACCTAAGATTTCGTTTGTGACAATTTTCTTATTATTTTCTCAAGCTGTTTTTTAGTACAAATTTATTTCGAAAGTGGTCAAAAGTTATCCCAAATGAACTAAGGGTAAAGATTTTGGTTCTCTAGATTAAGGTAAGGTCAGATCTGTGGCAGTGATCTTTTAACTAAATATTGATTAGCTGTGTGGAATTTGATCTACAACTGATATTGTATCACTCTTATCTATAGTTGAATTCACGCTTTTTTATCTATAATTGTTCTTATGCTATATTTTTAAAAACAATTAAGTGTATTTTCTTCCAAACATAGCTCTATTTCGATCATATTTATCTGATATAAAATTTTCTGTTATCCCTCATTTTATTTTATGGTATGCATGCATCTTGAAATTTTTTGTTTGCCGCTTATTTTAGGTTTTGTTTGAGATAGTTTTTAGCTTTCTAATTAAAAACAGAAAAAAAAAAATGTACTAAAAAGTTGATTTGAGAAGCAATAAGTAAGTCATTCCAAATGAAATCTTAGAGATTTACCCAAATAATAATATAAAGAAGAGCTCTTTAAGCTTTCTAGTTTAATTTTGATGTATTTGAAAATAGTTAAATTTTATTGATTTTAAAAATATATTGTTAATTGTCATAACCGCTGCCCATCCGCATAGTCGGTTACCTCTTTGCTTGCCATTGGTCACGGCTTGCTGCCGACCATCGCTACTGGTAACCGCCGCTTGTTCATCACCGTCCGCATTTGCTCTGGGTCATTACCCACCACTCAGTACTGTTGTCATTTGCGAAAAAAAAATCCGGCGAAAATAAGCAAGATCTGGAAAATTTTACTTTATATATTTTATTTATCAAAAGAAATACTAAAGTTTTAAATTTTTAAATTTTTTTGCATTTAGATAACTGTATATATAAATTTTCACATTAATCAAACATCCCCTAATGGTACAAGGACATTTTATTCTCTCCGGTAGATTAAATTTAAAATTTATCCAGTTGGAAATATCTTTATGAAGTATTTTCAGCGAACCAATAACCTCTCTAATTTCAATTTTATTAATACGTCGATAAAAAAAATTTTATTTAGGGTGCTAAGATCACTAAGTCAATCGTATTCTCATAATCTTCATTAAAAGTTTAGTAAAATATCTCATTCGCCTTTGTTGAATATCCTCTTCTAATAAAAGAACTTTTTGATCTTCAGCCTTAATGCACTTCATTTTAACTAAATTATTATATTTATATCTCTTTGTTTGACTAAATTATACATATATCTTTCGCCCTCATTAGTATCTAATCTATTATATAAATCATTAAAAGCTAAGATCTTTGTATCGCATACTATATTCTTAGATTTTTTACGAACCGTTTTATATCTTTCCCAATTATCATAATTTTTACATTTAAATCAAGTTCTATAACAAATCTTCTTATTTTTTTATCTTTTCTTACACATTTTGATTCACCACAAACTATTTTTACTATTAAGAATTTTTCTTTTTTATACTCCAAGTATATCTTTTACAAAATTCTTAATATCACTAGCTACTTTTTCACAACATTTATTACAGACAAAATCTTAAGATCTATAATCTTACTCTCAAAAATATTTTTGGTAATATTCTTTAAATGCCCCTAAGATAATATTTTACTTTATTTTTTATTTTATGCCCCTTCATGTTAAATTCTAAAACTAATAAGTGATGTGAGTACATAAACTTTCACTCGAAATAACTTTACAATCTTTACAATCTAAATGACCGATTTTTCTTATAAGAAAATAATCAATCTGAGTTATAATATATCCATTTTTATGAGTGATTAGATGCTTATCTCTTTTCTTAAATAAAGTATTAACAATTATAAAATCATAAGTTAAAGAAAAATCTATTATAGTCATGCCACCTTCATTAGTCTCTCCAAATTCATAGTTATCATGAATGCTTTTAAAATCATCAATATCTCTACAAACATATTCATTTAAATCTCTTCCAATAATAACTCTCTCTTCAAGAGGTATCTTTTATATTAATTCTTATAAGTCATTACAAAATTTTAATTTTGAACACATATCCAAACATACTTGAGGAATCTCTCGGTATTTGTAGTGACTACCTTGTGCATCAGTACTGTTGACCTCCATATATTTGCCATAGTCAATACAAATATTGACCTTGATTTTGTCAAAACCCTTAGTCAAAGAGTTTGACTTGGTCAAATTAAACAAGCTAGGACCCAAGATCTCCTCCATTGGATTCAATGGGTCAATCTGAGTTTGTTGAGCCCAAACCCAGGTCATGGGTCAACCTGGTTGACCCAAACTGACCCCTTTATCCTATTTGAGCCCAATTTGATTCCAAACTGATTTCAAGCCTTCTTGGACTCATTCCAATCATTTCAATGGGTCTAAATGATAAGGTTGACCAAGTCAATCTTTGACTTGGTCAATCCAAGCCTTAATGGGTCATTTTGACCCATTTAAGACCCATTAGAGTCCAAATCAAATTCAAATCAATTCAAACCTTGCTTAGGCTCAAACCCACATCCCCTTTGACCTATTTGACTAGGTTGACCATGTTAACCATTGACCTGGTCAACCCAAGTCTTAAATAGGTCAAAATGACCTATTTAAGCCCATTAAGAGCCCATTAATGACATTTACCCCCCCCCTTGGATTTCAAACCCAAACTACGACCAAATCAAGTAGATTTCCCTCCCAATTGACCCAGGATTTGATCAGGGCTGTTGGTTCCAACCCTAGACATTTAAATATATGTTTTTAAGGTTGAATGAGGGACTTTTCTCTCTTCTCTCTCTCTAGACCCTCTTAGGCTCTGAGACTTTGCGAGAGCACTCCCACCACCTCTCTTCACCTTTCTCGACCAAAACCCATCATTAAATCCTTGCCGATGGAGAGGATTCTGGCCAACCGAAGCTACGAACGTCCCTAGACAGATTCCCGTCCATCCAAGGCGTTTCAAGCAGCGATTTTGGGAGGAGGAGATATGCGGACAATCTACAAGCTCAAAGTATTCATAAATCCATAAAACCCCAAGGTATAATCCCTAAAAACCCTTAGATTAGATCAAACACCTAGATCTAAATAGCTTTCTGTAAAGTGTGTTCCAGGAAAAAAAATTTCTTCCCCAAGATTGCTCTTAATGTATAGATACTAGATTTAAAATTTCATAGCATTTGGTTGAGTAAATCGATCAAACAAAATGAATTGTCGTTTCGGCCTTCAGGTTCGCCCTAGTCCAGGCGGTACGAGATATGCACCGTCAATCGTCTGATCAACGATGTGAATCCAACTATTCTACGGTTTGATTCGAACAGCGGAATTAAGTTCGATGTTAGCACCCCCACGTGGCGAACTTTTATTTTATCCAGTGAACGTACGCTCCTCTACGTTCGGATCTAGGCAAAAAAAGCGCAATACCGAGTACCGAGTTGTATCGAGTTTTTAAAAAAAACTCGGTATTGCGATGTTTTGGTCTAAAACCGAACGTAGAGGAGCGTACGTTCACTGGATGTAATA